CTCTTTCTCCAAACCCACCCCCTCAAAGCCTGCCAAACACAGCTCCTCTCCCACAGATGATCAAGACCACTCCCACTGGGCATATAAGCGGCATCCCCAAAAACAGACTCATGGTTTTCCGGTCTCTCTTTCCAGTCTCCTCTCTGAGGGACCGGAGAATCACCTGGGAATGCTTTACCCATTAAACCGGGGCTTTTTCTAATTCGGTCTGATTTGGTCTGATTTGGATTGCTGCATTGGTGGAGAGGCCTATTGGGGTGCAAAAAACTTTCAATCCTACCACCAGGGCAACTGAGGCAGAAGGATTGTAAGCTGAAGGCCTGCCTGAGTGAGTGAGTTTAAGCCCAGTCTTAGCAACCATTGAGATCCTGTCTCAAAAGAAATAGGAAGAAAAGAGGGAGGGGCTGGAGCTCCAGCTCAGTCCTGTGTTTTCTCACAGCTCTTCAGGTCCTACCTGACTGCAAGGCCCCTAGGGCTGCCTGACCCTCCCCAGGGTGCTGCCTGACCCTCCCCAGGGTGCTGCCTGACCCTCCCCAGGGTGCTGCCTGAACCTTCTCAGGGTGCCGGTTGTTCTCAGAACCCAATGCCACTCCTTCATCTGGCCACAGGCCCTTCTCACTGGGACGCCTCCCCTGGAATGCCCTCTCTTCTCCCTTCTCCATGTTCAACACTTCCTTCTCCCTGGAGCTTTCCACCGCCCTGAACTCCCTCACGGCTGCTCCATCCTCTTCTGTTTTGGGCTTTATTCTCCTCTAAGCAAGTGTTATCTCCCAGCCTTAGCTGTGGACCCCATGGGAACCACGATCCACTCCACAACTTTCTCACCTTCCCGTTCCCAGACAGGCTGCCGCCACATTATTAGTGTGGGACCTTTCCCGCATCTGTTCTCATCTTCAGGTGCCTGAGTCCTCAAGCCCAAGACTGAATGGGACTCCAGAGTGCACAGGCCACAGAGGGGGTGACAGGACCAGACATGTCCCCTTCATGCAGAGAAGGAGCCGCTGAGATTCGGAGGTTTTTGTTTGTTTGTTTTTGTTTTTGTTTTTTTCAGAGCTGAGGACCGAACCAAGGGCCTTGCGCTTGCTAGGCAAGCACTCTACCACTGAGCTAAATCCCCAAACCCTTTTGTGTGTGTGTGTGTGTGTGTGTGTTAGACACATTTATGTTATTGTATGTGTTTGAGTGTTTTGCTTGCATGTGTACCACATGTGTGTCTGGTGCCTAAAGTGGTTAGAGAGGGTGTCAGAGTTGGAGTTACAGGTGCTTGTGAGTCACCATGTGGGTGCGGGGAATCAAACCCAGGTCCTCTATAACAGCAACAAGTGTTCCTAACTGCTGAGCCATCTCTGCAGCCTAGGGAACCAATTCACCTGCTGCTCAGTGGGACATCTCATCATCTCTTTTGTTTTCTCAGGAAATACCATGTCACACAAGAGCTGCATTGTTGTTTTTGTTTACCCACAACAATAAAGACTAAAAAAAAAATGTGCTAATGTCTGGAGGATGGACAGCCTCTGCGGGAACTCACACAAGAAATACCATCCTTTTTTGTCTTCTGAGTCTGTGTGTAAGGGTGGTTCACCTTCCATGCATACAGAGAGAGAGAGAGAGAGAGAGAGAGAGAGAGAGAGAGAGAGAGAGAGAGAGAGAGAGAGAGAGAGAGAGAGAGAGAAAGATTTAGGGAATCCACATGACTAGTAAATATCAAGTAAAGTAAAGAAAACATTGTCATTGCCAGGGCTAGGCCTAAAGGGACAAGAAGTCAGTCACCAGAGTACAGAAACTTGTGGAAAGGGACCCTGACAAAAGCAGGGACCTTTGACCAGGTCTGAAGCCAGCATTCACTCCATTCTACCTCTGTTCACCTGCCAGGGTCTCCCACTGGCTGGACCTGAAGCCAGAGGGCAGAGGCTCATTAATGCCATTGGAATAGGTTAGCCTCCCAGGTCTGGTGCTCTTTGGAGAGGACTGATGTCATTTCCTAGCACCTTCAACAGCTGGCATATGGCAGAACTGGTGTCTAAACTCCCCTGGCTCAGAGGCCAAGTGTTGAGGTTTCCCATTATCTCCAAGAGGGGGAAGCCGAGGAGGCTAGGGGTCTGTGCACAGCATGGTGTGACAGTTCGGCTTCATTGTCCATTTGACTGGCTCTGGAACCACTGAGGAGACACACCTCTGGATGTACCTTTGAGGGAGTTTCCAAAGAGCTTTAGCTGAAGGGAAGCGGAGCCCATAAGTTGGAGGTCTCAGGCCAAACAAAAAGGAGAAAAGGGAAGAAGCTAGCTGAAGCCTGGCATCCCCCTTACTTTACTTCCTGGCCTGCACCTTGGACCACGCCTTTCCTGCCACCAAGCCTTTCCGGTCTTGATGGATGGTTTTCCTCTGAACTGTGAGGCAGAATAAACCGTCCCACCCTTAAGTTGCTTTATGGCTACCAATACACCTGGGTTCCCCTATCAATCCTGAGGGTTGACACCTGCTCCCAGCCCCAAGCTGGGGCTGACGCCTCCCCTTACTGTATAGTTCCGAGCACCAAATGGACTTTCTGATTCTTTGAGAAGACACAGTGTGGGAGGTCAAGGAAGTCCCCAGTAGCGGGGAGCTGTGGTCGTACAATTAACCTAAAAGCCTCTTATTAGCATCTTGGCCTAAAAGGCCCCACACACCCACACAGAAATCACCCCCCACCCCACCCCCACCCCCCGCCACCCTGTGGCTTCCAGCTTAGGGCGGAGAAAGGGTTTCAGCAAAGATGTGGGTTGATGCTCACTCTGAAGTTCAGAGCAGCTGCAGAGTGCACAGCTCCCTTGGGGGCGAGGGGATTAGGCTGCACCTCTGTGACAGGAGCTCAGAGAGAGCTAACACCACATCATCTCAGCAACCCCCCTCGCCATTTGCAGATTTATTAAATCGAGAGCCAATTCTGACACAGTTTCTTTCAGGCAACTCCACCTTGCAGGTGTGCAGAATTTATTTGAGATAAAGAAAAACCATTAGAGAGAGAGAGCGCTCACAATCTTCAAAGCCCACCTCTGAGACCAGAAAGAAATAAAAACAGTAGCCCGTACAAATGTGCAATTAAGTTTCCAAATACTTGGGAGCCATGAGAAACGCCAACCCCGCAGAGAACAGGTCTTTAAGGCAATTTTCTTGAACTCTATTCAGCACTCACTCAAAATGCCTTTTAAAAATAACATATGATTTTCCTCCCTCTCCAAATGCACCCTTGTTCTTTCTTTTCCAGGTAAGAATGAAGCCAGCTCCAAGCAGTCACTCATTTTGATAAGGGATGATGGCCTGTGTCTCCAGGAGGGCAGATAATAAACCCAACAAACACCCCTGGCCAGTAGTACAGGAGTCTTGCTGAGATGTGGGGAGGCCAAGGGGGTCTTTGCCCACCGGGAACAGGCCCATGCTTAAACTCGGCTTTAAAGAGGTATTTGCCCAGAGTCTGGGCTGGGTTCAACAAATCCCACTCTCCCCAGGTGGAGATTTAGTTCCCTGCAAGAAGGAGAAGGATTCAGTTCCGCTGGAAGATTTGCTAAGAATAAAAGGTTCTCCTCTCTGCATGAGGCTGAATGAGCTACAAAGAGGCATAAGAGGATGGAGCGCTGTACAAGCACACAGCAGAGGGAGATGGGCCACATCCTAGCCTTCCCACGGCAGCAGTGTGACTCTGGATAGGTGGCTGAGCGTTCCCAAACCCTCAGTTCCTAAGCTACAAGATGAGAGTAACCCAGGGCTGCCGGGAAGCTGTGTGGTTTAGCTGTGAAAGCATCTAGTGGGTTCTGTTCCCACTGCAGCTGAAGCTCACATCACTGCCCCAACTGGAGACTGCCCCCCACCCCCACCCCCTCCTCCACCCCTACCCTCACCCCCTCCTGCCCCTTCAGGGCTGACACCATGTATGGAGTCAGCACAGGTCATGGTTGACAGCCCAGCCTTTGGATAGGGCTCAACTTCCAACCTGGTCATTTAGTGGCTCTCTGTCCTTCGCCATAGCCCCTGGGATCTCTGAATATTCCACATCTTCGTCTGTGAAATGGGAACACTAAGGACATGAGATCCGATGCATGCAAAGTGCTTAGCTAGTGCCTGGCCCATCGTAAGTGTCAGTGCGTAATAAGCAATTATTTTGTTATCATTTATAGCTCCCTTAGATCAGCCTCCATGTGCTAAAATTTAATAAGGTTTTGCTTCTTTGTATTTATTTTTACAGTTACTTTCTATTTATGGTAAGTGATACTGAGTCTCCATTTACAGAAGTGTTATCAAGTTTCCTTTTTGGATACATTTATTTAAGCTAAAGTGGGTCAATCTACAGAAAAAAAAAAAGAAGAGAAAATATAGTGCAGGTGGTACACAGATGGGTGAGACACTGGGAAGATGTGAGGCAGGAACCTAAATGTTGGGGAGCCCCCAGATAACCTGTATAAAGCCAGAAGGCAGGCAGACCCAGAGTGTGTCCCACTCTCCCAAGGCCACAGCAAGGTTGTCCCGAGGCTAGTGACTGTGATGGTGACCTTGGAGCATGCTTTTCCCCACCTTTAAGGGTTCTTCCCGGATTCACTATTTCGCTTCAGACCGAAGTCCCTGCTCCCCTGAGGGTGACTTTCCCAACCCCAGAGAACTGTGTACAGCCCTCCAAGCCCCTTGCCTGCCTGCCTGCCTGAGACCCCTCAGGTAAAGACTCCTCGGATCCCCAGGTGGATCTGGCCTGAATCCCAAGGCTGGACTGGGGACTGGAGACCAAGGACTGTGTGAGGTGGGGTTTCTAGGGAGGGGTAGCAAATGCTTTCCTTGTACAACTTCTAAGGAAAGACTCAGAGCAGCTAGGAAATAAAAACACCCTCCTGGCTCTCGCCAAGGTGTTACAACTCAGTCCCAGTTGCCTGGCAACCGCGCAGGTGCACGATAGGACAAATAGCGTTCCCAGGGAGCCAACCAGCGCCTGCGGGGGCCGGCCCAGGTGGGGGCTGGCGCGGGGGCGTTGGCCTGCATCCTGCATCCCGCATCCTCACGCGCACCCCACGACCTTGCGGCCCCTCCTAGAGGGAACAGCCATTGCCTCAGGAGGTCCAGATGGGGGCGGTTTGCCAAGCCCTGCTGAGCTGCGTTTAGTCTCACCGTACCCCAGCCTCCTCTGCCGCCTTCAGGCGTCGGCTCAAGGGCTAAGAAATCAGTGGCCGAGAAACTTGACCCAGTGCACCCAGCTCCCACCCGACTCCCGCTCAAACCCAATACTGCTGAGCACCCAGAGAATGGAGACAGGTGACATTCCTCTCTGGGACCTGGGCTCTCTTTGGTAGATTGATGCACTCTCGCCTGTCCCCAGAGGAGGAGCTAATGGAGCGGAGCCCTAGGGGAGATATCTGGTGGACTCTTGCAATAGCCATCAAAGCGGAAGCATCCAGGTGGGTTCTGCCTAGAGCCTCCCAGCAACAGCAGCCAGGAATAGCGACTCCGAGCTCGGGCTTCAAATTAGACCTGCCTTTGGATTCCAGCCGGGACTGACTGGACTGGCTGTGTAACCTTGAACCCTTCCCTTAACCTCTCAGTCTGCTCATCCATAAAATGGGGGGAAGCAGGGCCCATTTTTATGGGGCTCCTGTGACGACCGAGGGCAGCCATGCGCTTAGAACCCTTAGCACGGAGCTTAGCAGATGTTTGCTCTTGATTCCTGACCGAAAAACAAACAGTTCGGTTGGGATGTGGAAGCTGTGGCCATGGCGCAAGCCACACAGTTGCTGGAGAGACTCCCACTCAGACAACCGTGTGTCTGAAGCTCCCTGCCCCACACCCGGTAACCTGTGCAGGTGGGCTCTCAGACAGGGGCCCTGGTGAAGGATGGGCTACCGGCCTCCCCCATGGGTGCCCAGGCAGTACCCAGGCGTAGTACTGTGTTTGCTGCCTCCGGGCACACACACAGCAATCCAAGGGAAACAACGCAACTCAGAGTAGTGTGTGGACCTATAACCCCTGCGCTTGGGAGCAGGAGGACGTAGAATTTCAGGCCATCCTGGGCTATGGCCAGGCGGTGGTGGCCCACGCCTTTAATCCCAGCACTCGGGAGGCAGAGGCAGGAGGATCTCTGTGAGTTCGAGGCCAGCCTGGTCTACAAAGCGAGTTCCAGGAAAGGTGGAAAGCTACACAGAGAAACCCTGTCTCGAAAAACCAAAAAAAAAAAAAAAAAAAAAAAAAAAACAAGCAAGGGGTGAGGATGTAGTTCAGTCAGTAGAGTGATTGTCTAGTACGCAGGAAGCCCAGCATGAAACTGGGCATAGTGCCATGCCCTTGTAATCCTAACACTCAGAGCTGGAGAGCTGGCTCAGTGGTTAAGAGCACTGGCTGCTCTTCCAGAGGACTTGGGTTCAATTCCCAGCTCTCACTATGGTAGCTCGCAACTATCAGGAGATTTGATACCTTCACACCAATGCATTAATTGGTTTTTTTAAAGAGCACTTATTATTCTTGCAAAAGATCTGGGTTCAATTCCCAGAACCCACACGGAGGCTCATCACTTCCTAACTCAAGCACCAGCCATGTATGGTGTACAGACATACACTACAGGCAAGGCACTCATACACAAAATAAATCTATAAATAAATGCAAAAAAAAAAAATTCCCTAGCACCCAGAAGTGGAGGCAGGGGGATCAGATCATCCTCAGCTGCATAACCAGTGAAGACAAAAAGAAAAAAAGAAGGAGGGGGAGGGGATGAGATGGCTCAGTGGGTTAAGGTGCTTGCCACCAACCCTGATGATCTGAGTTCTATCCCCAGGGCCCACATTGGGATGGAGAGAACCAGCTCTCACAAGTTGTCCTCTGACCTCCACATGTGGACATCCACACCCCACTGCTCTAAATACATACATACATACATGCACACACAAATGTTGAAAAGGCTGGGCATGGTGGTGAGCACTTGGAATCCTACTGGAGAGGAGACAGGTAGACCTCGGCAGCTTGCTGCTCAGCCAGCACAGTCTAATCATCGAGCCCCAGGCCACCGAGAGACCCTGTCTCAAAAAATAAGATGAAGCAAATCGTGATGACACACGCCTTTAATACCAGCACACAGGAGGCAGAGCTCTGTGAGTTTGAGGTCTACAGAGTGAGTTCCAGGACAACCAGGAATACACAGAAAAATCCTGTCTCAAAAAACCAAAAGGAAAAAAAAAAATCCATGGTTGGCTATTTTCCTCCAGACACATGTTCACACATAGACTACACACATGTGCACACACATATACATACATGATGGTTTACAATTATAATTCCAGAATTTATAATGCTGAGACAGATGCATGGCTGTGAGTTCCAGGACAACCTGGACTGTAGAGTGAGCCACTGTGTCGCTTGGTAGCTCAGTGGGCAGAGCGCTTGTCCAGCACACACAAAGCCCAGGTTTCACTCTCTAGCTTCAACCAGATGCAGTAGCACATGCCTACAATACAGTATTTAGGAGCTGGAGGCAGGAGGATCAGACGTTCTAGATTGGGGGCTGTGAGATTGCTCAGAGGTTAAGAGTACTGGCTACTCTTGCAGAGGACTCAGGTTCAATCCCAGCACCCACACAGTGGCTTACAACTGCCGAAAACTCCATTTCCAGGGGATCCAATGCCCCTCCTTTTTGGCTTCTGTGGGCCACAGGCACACATGTGGTACACAGACATACATGCAGACAAAATGCTCATGCACATAAAGTAAAAATTAATAAAAGAAGTTCTGGATTACCCTAAGCTACATAACAAGTTTGAGGCCAGCCTGGAATGCACGAGACTGTCTCAAAAAGCAAAATGAAGACAAGTAAAAACAGAAGATTAATAAGTGGGTCAGCTCAACAATCCATCTAAATCCTTATCAGTAGTACAACTTATCAGTAGTAGTTCCCAGGGGATGAGGACCGGTCCCCTTTCCTAACTTCTTTCTGGAGCCACCCTAGACAGAAGGGACAGGGAAACAGTGATGGGACAAAGGATTCCAGATGAGCCCTGCCTGAGCCTCCCGCTCAGGGATGGCTGCAGTCATTATGAGCAGCCGACGCCCAGCAGCTCCCTGGAAACCTTCCATCCAGGGTACAGGCCAGAACTTACAAGCGCTAGTAATGAGTCAGAATCTGCCTTGGTGTTTTCTCTTTGTTAAGCTTGTCTTTTCAAAGGCTTTAGGGAAGTGGGACAAATAGGGTTGTCTCTGTCCCCTCTTGAAGCTACCTCACCTGCAGGGTGACTGACCAGAGCCCATCCTGAAAGCTCCATCATGTCTTATACTGACCATGCTTCCAGAAAGAGACTCCAACAGGCTGGAGAGACCTTTCAAGACAGGAAGAGTAAAGATTTACAGTACCAATCCCAGGGCCAGCCTGTGCTCCGCACCACACCTGGAAGACCCCAAACTGACCAGCCCAGGAAGTGGTCATCATCACTATTTTCTAGACAGCGAACTCGAAGCCACAGATGCTGGCAATCAGCAATCGGCAAAGCCAGAGAGCTAGACTGGATCCTTCATCTCAGCTTCTTGCTCTGGATAGTGTTTTTCCTCACCATCCAATCCCCAGCACAGTGCCTGGCACACAGTTACAACCCAGCGAATACCAGGAGGAGTAAAGCAGCTAGAGAGGCAGCCCACAGTCTCCACACCCCCCAGCTGCACACCCCCCCAGCCTGGGGCTGGAGTTATGGGAAGGCCGCTCACAAATACACCGCCCTACCTCAGATGCCCTGTAGGGGGCCCTCTCCTCTTGCACGGAGGTGGATCCAGCCCACAGGGCAGCCCTGAAAGTGGAGTAAGGGGGCACAGCTCCGGCTGAGCTGAAGGAACAGGGAAGAGGGCGCCTCACCAGGAGTCAGAGAAAAACCTCAGGGAGAAGGCAACACCAGGTCATTGTTCACTGACCGTGGGTCCCCCTTTGTGAGCTCCTTGGAGGGGAGCTGCTCTTCTCATAGTTCTGTATCAGTTACCCAACAGCCAGCAACCAGAAAACCGGGCAAACATCTAGGTGGAAAGGGCACAGTAGGCCCTGGGAGGCCACTGAGTGAGAGAGCTATTCTGAGACCCCGTGCTCCCAGAGGACCTGTGTCCGGTAACGTCATCTTATAGGATGACTACATGGTTCTTCCGTTCTTCCCAAGGCCTTTTACCTAACTCGGGACTCATGCTTTGCTATATATATATATATAGAGAGAGAGAGAGAGAGTTTTTCTTTTTTCTCTGTGTAGCTCTCTGGCTGTCCTGGAACTCACTCCGTAGACCAGGCTGGCCTCAAACTCAGAGATCTTCCTGCCTCTGCCTCTCAAGTGCTGAGATTAAAGGCATGTGCCACCACTGTCAGGTTTAGACTTTTTCATAAAAGCAACACACACACACACACATGCAAACATACCCACATCTACACATGCACACACACATACACACACACACACACACACACACACACACACACACACCATTTTTAGGCTTCACAAAATCTCCATCTGGCTAGTTACAAAAATTCGGAAATTGCTTTGCTGGGTACCCCACCCTGCCATTCCCTGATGGCACCTGTGAGCTGTTTTCCCTGGCCAGAAAAGCAAGGAGTGAGCTAGAATAAGTGTTGTCCAGGGACCCTGAGGCCAAGGAATCCCAGACCGTGTGTTTAGGCCAAGAGGCAGAGGCATAGGCAGCGGTCCCGGTCCCTGGCAGTGCTTGGCTCACAGTACTTACCTTAAGCCCCTGACCCTTGTGCCTCCGTTTCCAAAGCACTGAGAGAGAGCCAAGCATGTGCCATCCCACCTGAGGAGGCCTGGGCTGGCCTCTGACTCCTTCCTGACCTTCTTCCAGCTTTTCAGTATTTCCTACTCTATATACCACCTCAATTGGTCCTAGGGAACTATGGGTGCCTGAGACTGAGCATCCGGGCTTGTGGGAGCCACAGAATCAAGGAGACCAGGTCAAGGCCTTGCTGCAGGCCAGACAGATAACTGCTGACAGCCAGGAGGTACCCTCCCAGCTTCTAAGTACCCTCACTTCCCCAAACGTCCACCGGATTTTTCCTTAGGAGTCACCCACATTCCTTCCAACTCCAGAATTCTGATGGTTTCTGCTACTTTCATCTTCTGTGACCTGCACGCTCCTCCGGACCCAGGGGACAATCAGGAGGAGACTCACTTATGCTGAACACCCAATTACAGGCAACATGTGTATATCAGATTGGCTTCTCAATTCCCCCAGAGAACTCTGGGCCAAAACTCTTTGCCCTTCAGTGAAGGTTTGGGGTAAGTAGTGGGACCTGGATTCGAACCTGAGTCTGTCGGGCTGAGCAAGCTGGAGTGCTTACCATCCAGGCCCTCATTCACCTATGTGTCTACTCCACAGCCACTGGCACCCTCCTCCTCACACCCACTGTCAACTTAGCCTTAAAAATAATATGGGTCTCTGCCTCTACCTCTTGTACCTGTTGGCCAGAAGCCATGTGCCTCCCACTCTGTCCCCAGGGCCTGCTAACCACCCGGCAGAAGGGAAATAAAGACCCTATTCTCATCCATCTAGATCAAATCCCACTGATCCTGGTGCCTTCTGGGGCCACTGCTCCATCAGAGGACAATTAATGACTGTGGTTGATTACGGGACACTTATGCACGGAGCGGCATAAGCCCGGTTTTCATTCCCAGCTTAAAAGCCCAGATTAATCGCCCTGGGCTGGTTCTGTCACACACAGGGATATATTTTCTTCTTGGAATTTACAAGTAGTTCCATCTGAGAAATAAACAACCGGAGATAAAAATTACATTGTCACAGTGCAGGTGTGATAGATGTTGGAAGCAAGGCGTTGTGGTCGCTGAGGAGGCAGTCCGCCAACGGAACACGCCAAATGAGACCAGGAGGAGCCCCAGGTAAGGGGAATGAGATACTGATGGGATCCCGGCTGCACAGGAAGCTAGGAATCTCTGCAATTTACATTTCATCGCTGTAAATCATAGAGTTCCCAGGCCAGGCTCCTGCAGCCAGGGGGAGGGGGAGGTGATTGACAGGAGACTCCTGAGGCTGTGCGGCCCCTCAGGCTGAGGGACTCCAGGCCTGACAGGATAATAGGACATCCCCAACTGAGGAGCAAGCAGGAGGTCCCTTGACTAGAACCTTGATGACTCTGTCTGTGCACAAAGACACCAACTACCCGTTTTGTCTCTACCCCTACTAGTTAATGGGAACCAGGCCTACCTATGAAAAAGTCACCTAGATGGCCACAGTGAGACCATGTGTGGTAATAATCAGCATTTATTGGGCATTTACTAAGTGTTCACTGCTATGTGTCCTCAAAGGGATCATTCTGTATTCATCTCCATGACAACCTTATAAATTAGCATTGGGCCAGGTACTGGTGGTACACGCCTTTAATTCCAGCACTCGGGAGGCAGAGGCAGGTGGATCTCCGTGAGTTCGAGGCCAGCCTGGTCTACAGAGCGAGATCCAGGACAGGCACCAAAACTACACAGAGAAACCCTGTCTCAGAAAAATAAGTTAGCTCGAGGGGCTACAGATATGGTTCAGTGGTTGATTTTCAAGCTTGAGGGCCTGAGTTCGAACCCCTGGCACCCATGCAGGGGTGGAGTCAGGTGGATCCTGAGAGCTCACAGGCCAGCCAGCCTCACTGAAACATGAAGCTTCCGTTCAGTGAGAGACCCTGTCTCAAGGCAATATGGGCAGAGAGACAGAAGAATGGTTCTTCTCTGGCCTCTGCATGAGTACATATGAGCACAAACACTGCACACTCAAGAGTGTGCATCACACACACATAAACCATGCACATTTGCACATACATATACCACATGTCACACACATATGCACACACACACACACACACACACACACACACACACACACACACACACGAATAGCAGTATTATCCACTTTTTGTTGTTTTGTTTTCTATTTCCTTATGGGGGTTGTAAAGGCTCTAGGGCAGAGGGCAGAGAACAACTTTAAGGAGTCAGCTCTCTCCTACCACACGGTTCCAGGAATTGAACTCGAGTCCTCGGGTTTGATGGCAAGCTCCCTTATCCACTGAGCCATCTCACCAGACCGTTTGTTCTTTAAGACAGGGTGTCATGTAGCACAGGCTGGCCTCAAGCTTGGTATGTACCTGAGGATGACCTTGAATTCCTGGTCCTCAAATTCTGGGATTACAGGTTTATGCCACCACACCCAGCTATGACCTTAGAGATGAAAACGTTGAAGCTGAAAGAGGATAAATGTCTTGATGGAGGTCCCTGGACAGATTTGGAAAGTGGTGCCCCAAAAGATATGTCCACATCCAAATCCCTGGATCCTGTGAATGTGACATTATTTAGAAAAAGGGCCTGTGCAGATGTAATTAAGTTAGGGACCTTGAGAAGAGATTATCCTGGATTACCCAGATGGGCCCTAAATTTAATGGCAAATGTCTCTGTTAAAGACAGAGAAGAGCCGCGTGAAGACCGAGACTGGAGAGACATAGCCAGAGAATGGGAACAGCCACCAGCGCTGGAAAAGGCCGGAACAGATTGTCCCCAGCGCCTCCGGTGGGGGCACGGCCCTGAAGACATTTTGATTTCACATTTCTGGCCTCCAGAGCTGTGAAAGAATAAATCTCTGTGGTCTTAAACCACCAAGTTTGTGGTCATTTACAGCAGCCGTAGGAAACTACTAGAATCCCACAGCTGACAAATGGCAAAGCCGGGCTCTGGCAGGCTGACCCCAGACTCAGGCTCTGCTAAGGCAGAAGCCTAGGCTCCATCCTGCCACCACTGCGACCTTGAGGAAGTCACTTAGCCTCCGCTTTCTGGAGTTAGGCAAAGTCAGTGGTGTGTCTCAGGGCTGCCGCCCCAGATGAGAGGACTGCTGGGTAATAAGGAGTGAACAGGTAAGGCTTAGGAAACTGCCTGACAGCTGGGCATGGTGGTGCAAAGATCCCAGCACTCAGGAGGAAGAGGCAGGCAGATCTCTGTGAGTTCGAGGCCTGCCTGGTCTACAGAGTGAATTCCAGGACAGCCAGGGCTACAAAGAGAAACCCTGTCTCCAATTCACCCTCCAAAAAATGAAGAGAAAATGTATATGTGCCTCTGTGTGTGCACACATGAATGTACCTGCACATGCGCCCTACTGTGTGTGTGGAGGTCAGAGGAAAACCTGTGGAAGTTGGTTCTCTCCCTCCACCCTGAGGGCTCCAAGCATCAAACTCAGGCCATTAGGCTTGGCAGTAAGAACATCTACTTGCCAAGCCATCTTGCCAGCCCAGGATTCTGCTCTTCATTTGACAGAAAGGGAAAAAAAAAAAAAAAAAAAAAAAGGAACAGCACTGAGCCATCTCTGAACCCCCGTGGAACTATAATTTTCAAGGCCAGAACGTGTGGGCACACAGAATGCAGACATGAGTTTCCAGACATGCACACATGGATTGTCTCCATGTAGAATGCCCCCAACCTCTCTGACCAGAGGTAATTAAGACCTAATTAAGGCCTCTCCACAATGCTTGATCATCTCCCTCAAGGCAGCTGGCTTGCTCAACAATAAAGCCTCAGCACCGGGAGTGTACCTGGCACCCCGCTGGTGTCATTAAATATTTGCTGAATGAGTGAAAGTGGAATGTTGTCATCACATCTAACTGGGGTCCTGACCTGTCTGGAGGGTTCAGGGCCACTTCCCAAAGAAGCGTCCTGTGAGTCTCCCAGGTAGGGGAGACTGACCCATGATCAGGAGGGAACGTGGTGTGTGAAGTGAGTCTGAGGGAAACTGGAACCCTGGGGCTGCAGAGAGGTCAGGGTTAAGAGCACTTGCTCCTCCAGTGTGGCATTTGAGTATTTGCTCCCCACAGCAGACCTGCCTGGGGAAGCTTAGGTGTGGCCTTGCTGGAGGAAGCATCTTACTGGGGACCCGGCTTTGAGGTTTCAAAAGCTAGCCTCATGCTATTCCTGAGTCCTTCGCGCTCTGCTTCCTCTTGTGGTTAGGGATAGGTACCTTCAACTTCTGCTCCCGCCAGTGTGCCCGACGTGGTGGACTTTTTGTTGTCTTTGAGACAGGGTCCTACCTTGTCTGGCCTGAAGCTTGCTATGTAGTCCAGGCTGGCCCGGAACTTACAGAGTGTTTGAGGACAGAGGCTACCCTGTCTTAAAAAACAAAACCACTTCCTACTGTATATATAGAAGTCTTTAGGTCTGGTTAATTTTGGTATATAATTTTTTTTTTTTTTTTTTTTAGGTTTTTTTCAGAGTTTCTCTGTATAACAGCCCTGGCTTTCCTGGAACTTGCCTTGTAGACCCAGGCGGGCCTCAAACTCCCAGAGATCCACCTGTCCCTGCCCCCCACTCCCACCCCTTGTGCTGGGATTAAAGGCATATGACACACATTCAGGAGGACTGGGTGGCTCAGTGGATAAAGGTCCTTGCGGTCAAACCTCCTGCTTGAGTTCCAACCCCAGAATCCAATGGTAGATGGACAAAACGGACTCCCACATGTTGCCCTCTGACCTCCACAGGTGTGCCATGGTATATGTGTCCACGTGTGTACACACACACACACACACCAAACAGATGTTTAAAAAAAAAAACAATTGCAGGGGTGAGGGAAGGGTGGATTCTAAGAGCCGAGAGAAGCCACTGAAAGATGAAAACATCAGAGTGCTCCTGTCAGTCAGATGGTCTTTTCTAACTCCACAACTGTGGTGTGGAGACTGGAGACAAGAGAAGGAACACACACACCAATCAGGAGTCTGCCGCCATGTTCCAAGCAGGAGACGCAGCCCTGGTCGCAGGAGACATGCACAGAACGGGGTGGACTCGGACGCCTGTGGTGGACGATGACGGCCGTGGCAAAGATGAGTCAGTGAACGCTCCACAGACAACCAGATCCCTTGCCGTCCTAGATTTGGACACTTCTATTAATGTGGTCAAAAATTATAGCGGCTTTTTTAGGGGGGCAGGCACATCAAACTTTCTGACTCACTGTGCTCACAGGCAAATGCTTCCTCATCATAATAACCCTTCCTGGGACAAAAAGTCTTTTCTGCGAGCAAGCGGTCAGGAAGAGCCTGGAGCCCAAGCCAAGTGGCTGCCTTGAAGATTCCAGAAAGGAGTGAGGAAACATTGCATGCCAACTAAGGCCACCAGAGAAGCCTGGAGTGGGTTCATTTTAAAAAGGACAGCCATGGGCTGAGTACTCCTTCCTCCAGGCTAATAAATTATTTTCTTTCCCCCCCATCCTCTTTCTCTCCTTCTTCCTTCCTTTTTGAGATAGGGTCTCACTATGGTACCCTAGCTGACCTGGAACTCACAGAGATCAACCTACCTCTGCCTCCTAAATGCTAGAACTGAAGGTATACAGCACATGCCCAGCTATTTTTTTATTTAGATTTATTTTTATGTATGTATGCTTGACCTGCATGTATGTCTGTCTGTGGAGTGCATGTCTGGTGCCCTTGAAGGTCCGATGAGAGAGTCTGAGGCCCTGGAACTGATGCTAAAGATGGTTGTGAGTCACAATGTAGGTGATGGGAACTGAATCCAGTCCCTCTATAAGAACAGCAAGGGCTGGAGAGATGGCTCAGAGGTTAAAAGCACTGGTTAAAATTCCAGAGGATCCAGGTTCAATTCCCAGCGCCCACATGGCAGCTCACACTTGTCTGTAATTCCAGTTCCAGGAGATCCGACACTCTCACACAGACACACATGCAGGCAAAGCACCAATGAACATAAAATAAAATAAATTAAAAAAAAAAAAAAAAGACAGCAAGTGCCAGGTGTGGTGGCGTACATCTTTAATCCCATCTCTGGGAGACAGAGACAGGAGGATCTCTGTGAGTTCAAGGCCAGCCTGGTCTACATAGTGAGTTCCAGAACAGACAGGACTATTTAAAGAGCCCCTGTCTCAAAATAAATGAATGAATGAATGAATGAATAAATAAATAAATAAATTTTAAAAAGTATTCTTAACCACTGAGCCATCTCTCCAATGTCATCGTCCCCCATCTTAAAGATGTGGTTGTCTTGCCGGGCGGTGGTGGCGCACGCCTTTAATCCCAGCACTCGGGAGGCAGAGCCAGGCGGATCTCTGTGAGTTCGAGGCCAGCCTGGGCTACCAAGTGAGCTCCAGGAAAGGCGCAAAGCTACACAGAGAAACCCTGTCTCGAAAAACCAAAAAAAAAAAAAAAAAAAAAAAGATGTGGTTGTCTGAATGGCTGCATATACATACATCATGTGCATGCCTGGTGCCCTCAGAGACCAGGAGGTGGCATAAGATCCCCTGGAACTGGAGTGATAGGTGGTTGTGAACCGCCACGTGAGTGCTGGGAACTGAACCTGGGTCCTCTGCAAGAAGATCAAGTGCTCTTAACTCACGAGGGCCCACTCCCCACTCCTTTCTCAAAGTTCAGGCTTCCCTGAAACTCAGTGTGTAGTCTCGCCTAGCTTTGAGCTCATGACAATCCTCCTGCCTCAGTCTTCCACATGCTATACTGCTAGGATTACAGGCATGGGACAACCCAAGAGTTTATGCTAAGAACTGCTGGGATACAAAAAGGAAAAACCGGAAGTAGCTCTTGGGAGGTAGATTAAAAAGTTCAAGGTCATTATGAGCTACACATCAAGTTGAAGACCAGCCCATGCTACATGAGACTCTATTTGAAAGAGAAAAAGGAAGGAGGAGGAGGAAGAAGAGCAAGAAAGGAAAAGCGGCTCATAGGTTAAGAGCGGATACTTCCAGAGGACTGGAGCTTGACCCTCAGCACCCACATCCGGTGACTCATAACCCCCCAAGACTCCAGCTCAGGGGATCCAGTCCTCTGACCCCTGAAGGCGCCTGCACTCACATGCACAAATACACACACAGACCCATAATTAAAAGTAGTAAAACTGGGCTGGAGAGATGGCTCAGTGGTTAAGAGCACTGGCTGCTGTTCCAGAGGACCCAGGTTTAATTCCCAGCACCCACATGGCAGCTCACACCTGTCCGTAACTCAGTTCCGGGGAAGCTGACATCCTCACACCAGTGCACATAAAATAAAATTAAGTTATTAAAAAAATAGTAAAACTAACTCTAAAAAAATTATATTAAAACTAAACTTTAAAAAATGAGCCAGTGAAATGACTCAGTGGGTAAAAGCAGACAAGCCTCACAAACTGAGTTTGATCCTTGCAGCCCACAGTGGCAGAAAAGCACCGCCTCCCAAAAGTCATGCCCTCACTCACATCACACACACACACACACACACACACACACACACACACACACACACACACACACCCCACCCCACCCCACCCCACACCACACCACACCACACCACACCACACCACACCACACATAAAGATCAGGTCTAGGGATGTAGTTGTAAGTGGTCAATAGAGTCCATGACCTACCTAGGTGTGGGGGCTGCTAAATTGTTCTTTTCCAGCCAATGCTGAATACACACAACAACATGTAAGTCACCGCCATATTTAGTGGTGAATTCTGTATGTCTATTTACAAGTTCTTGTGATAAAATCAAAGCACCTAATATTCAGAACAAAAGGAAGGAGAG